GGGAGTCCAATCACACATTTCCCGACGACTATTTCAAAGGTTCCGAAAGCCGTCAGGAAATGTGTAATGTTACATGGATTCCCCTGAATGAGAAGGTCTTTCCTTTGCCTGGGAATGATGGGGAAATGACCAAGAACACACATAGTCCAGCACGTGCTTTAGAGTAATGTGAAACAGTCTTTTCATAAGAACTTTGTTGAAGAGGATTATGAAAAATATAAAAAAGAAAAATGTTGTCTTCATTGAGGATTGAACACACAACCTTAAGACTATAAGTCCTGTGCTCTACCAAGTAAGCTAACCAATGACATTATAAACCACACTATAATTACCATTATGGTTATCTCGAAATCACGAGAAAATTATCCCATTATCACGGGAAAACGGAGTAAAAGAATATTTGATTAGGTCTTCCGTATGTATATATATATGAATGAATATATAGATTGACATTCTATACGTGTCTATTTGAAAAATGTGTCCTGAATTGATGAAGATATCTGTTGTGATGTGGAAGAGAATCTGTGAAACAACAGACTGGAATGTCAGCCAAAGAGGGGTATCCCATGCAACAGTCCTGTCTCTTTCTTTTCTTCTTACAACGACAATGCCCTATCAACAAATTACAGTACAAATAGTAAAAGCATAGCTGTGATTCCTGTCCTCTCTCCTGCAATGTATAACTTTGTACTGGTGAAAGTGATATATACCAGACAAAAAAAGTGCAGCCTTGTGCATTTTCAATCATTGTCATCAAAATCTTAGCCAGAGGGTACATCAGAAAATACTTAGAGTATAGTAGATAGAGTTATATTGACAAGATGGCTAAACATTTTGACTTGCTTGTTCATAAACAAGATACAAGGACTTGTTGTTCTGATGGCACTGACAAGTTCAATGACATAAAGATTTGCTTTTGAGAGATAGACTAAGGATTTTGAGCAAGTTATGGGCTTTTGCAGGTAATCCACTGTGTTGTGCTGTTTGTACTACCTGTTTTGAGAAATGCACTTACTGTTTTGCAAATGTAAAGAAATGCACCAAAGCAACTGAGAAAAACTGTAACATTGCCTGTGTGAGCAATGCAGCCTGAACAAAAAATGAGTTTGGAGCTGGCTGCTTTTCTGATTATGTCCACAGGATGGCAGCATGAGGCCTTTCACTCAGATGTAACATGGCTGGCCAACACTGCCATGGCAGCATATCTGAGAGCTTTATTGGCACCACTAAAATACTTGCAAAACAGATTACATTCCCATCAGCCTCAGCTGCACTTTATGTTTATTGCTAATTAGCAAATGTTAGCATGCTAACACGCTAAACTACGATGACGAACATGATAAACAGTACCTTCTAAACTTCAGCATGTAGCATTGTAATTGTGAACATGCTAACATTAGCATTTAAAGCACAGAGGCACTCTTTTTAGACTCATATTAACTTTGCTCACAAAATTAAGTATGAGGTAGCTAAACATGATTATTTTCTTAATTACCCAGGGAGTGGAACACTATGCCAGCTAATGTTAATTAAGCCATATTGAAGTTTGTACTTGAGCAGCAAAACACCCCCACTGACTCCATTAATCATAACATGAAGAGACATTTACAGCTAACAGCAGACACTATATGAGGCACTTCACTGGAGTTAAGAAGATGATGGTGTAATTTATAATCTAATGCACAGGTGGCTGCAGAGGAAAGGACAACGCATTGCTAAAACTCATTTAAACTGCTTTTGCTTAAAGGTTCATGTTACAGCGTCTAACTTATCGTATTCTGCAGCAGTTGTACATCAATTAACCATATTTCCCGCAAGTGAATCTTGAAAGTGTTAATTTTCTTTTTAGAATAGACTTTTGAAAAGTGTCTGAACAGTTAAATTACATTTTATAGAAATTCGAGGCATTCTGTTTTTTTGGCAGACTGTAACCAAACTGCTCTGATATGACATTTCAGCTCATATTTAAAGTTTTACAAGCTGTTAAATTTAATATGACACCCTGTTAGCTGGTTATGTTACTGGTGGGGACACACTGCAGCACCCATACAGTGAACATATGGGAAAGTTGTGGGTAGCAGACCTGTTATTGTGCTCCTGAGCCAGCTCCCGACGATCCCACTCCACCAGCCTCGCCTGGGTGACATGGTCCAGCAGTGCAAGCAGGAACCTCCTCAGAGTGTGAGCGCGATAGAAACGCTCAGCTCTCTCCTCTTGAATCATCCTCCAATCCTTAAGCTGAAACAGACAGTGCTCACTCAGAGATGGGGACATTTTACGAGTGTTTTACTTACCTGTAGTAAAAGGAATTATTAATTCAACCCAGCTGGTAGTCCACAACAAAACAATTGCAAGTTGATGGTCTAAAATTTTATTCTTTAAGGTACAAAAGGAGGTACAAAAGGAGACAGGGAAAAGGCGTTGCTCTAAGCCAATGTCAGGAGCTGGGGAGACTAACAATCCTGATCAAGGAACTCAGTGTGTGTGTGTGTGTGTGTGTGTGTGTGTGTGTGTGTGTGTGTGTATACACACTCTTTTCCAGGAGCTTAAGCTCTTACGAAGCAGAAAGTGCTGGTACAGTTGGTCCGCAGAAGCTTCTTTCTCAGACTGGGACTCCCTTGAAGATTGATGCCAGCCTAGTGTGCACTGCCTCAGGAGGAAGACATTGTGGTGTCTCTCTGCCAGCTGGCAGGGATTGAAAAGAAAAGCGACGATGTACGCTGATGAATGCATCCAGACTCAATCATATGTGCCAGGTTGAAACAATGGAGTGGTGTCAAATGATGAAGCGCTTGTTTTCAACAGAATCTCACATTTAACAAAGAGGGTTTTATGTGTGATGCTGAGCAAAAGCAGAAACATTTCGAGGATGAAATTATGATTTTCCCAAGGGAATGCGGCTTGAGATGTGTCTCATGCTTTTTGTTTGGACATTTTCCCTCTGCCTTGTTTGAGTGGGTGGATCTGGGTTTGTCCCAGAGTATACGTGTCTTGTTGGGTGGTGGCGGGTACAGTTTTACCCAAAACAGTTTACCCAAACAGTCACAGAATTATCAGTCCAATAAATGTGTTAACTAGAGTGTTAGATTGCCTGTGGAGACACAGCGTGTGTTTTGTGGTACTTTATACGTAAACAACTTTAAAAAGCACATCTGAAAATGCCCAGAGTGCTTCAAAATCAGGGAAAATGCAGTCCCAAGGGACAAATATTAATAAAATGGAATGATGGTCAAAGCAAAATTTAAAAAAGCACGTATAATCCTCTTTGTGTCGCTAAAATTTAAGACCGATTAATCTTTACACTCTCCCTCAAATGGAAAAGAAATGACTAAACAAACTTTGTTGTATGAGAAAATTGGGAAGAATTATGTCCGTAAGCCATCAAACAAGTCCAGCCAAGTTTTGAATTCTAAAAAGCTTTCAATAGACACACACTGCTTTGTGACTGCTTCCAAGTGTACATTCAGGGAAGCTTTTTATTATTCAAATCAGTGGCCTGTACTTAGACTTTGATTTGGAGGTCAAAATTCTTCCCTTTTGCTTATTGTAATTCTGTTGCAGGAGCATGTGTGATAATGGAAAAGCTAAATGGCTCTAAATCTCCTTGCACAGTTTCCTTTTCAGTACGTTCTTCAAAGTTAAGGCCAGAATCAAGAGCTGTGTCCTTAAAGTGTTGAGTTTGAGGACTGAGGGCCGGCTGAACTTGGCTGAAAACACTGCATTGTTGCTGTAGCTGACAGCTGAAATGGACAAGACAGGTGATTTTACCTGCATGTTGGCTTGTCCGAGCTGAATGAGGCGTTTCCATGGCGCCAGGCCTCGCCGAAGCAGCAGGTATGTGTGGTAGTGTTGACAGGCCAGCTTCAGGAGCTCCTGTTGCCTTTTCTGTTGCCTCCGTTTTTCCTCTTCCCTCTGCACACACAGAGGAAGTGACATTACTTTAATATTCTGCAAAGTGCTACATGTCGCTCAGGGTTACTCACGGGAAAAGGGCTTCCTGTATTCTGATTCAAGTTTTTGTGAACGTCCATAAAATATGAAATCCATCTCACCTCTCTTTCCTGCCTTTTCTCCTCCCTCTTCTTTTCTGCTGCCTTGCGTTTCTCCTCCTCTTCCTCCCTCTGCCTCTGCTCCTCAATGGCTTTTAGCTCTGCCTGATAAGATGCATTTTATTTTGTTGTTAAATTTGTGCTTTTTCTAGTATCATTTCAGACAATTTGTAACTTATTACTTAAACTTCAAATTAGTTTTGCGGATCCAGAGAAGAACTGCTTGATCTCTCACCAGTTTGTCCTCTTCTTTCTTTCTCTTGAGTTCCTCTATTTCCTTCCTACGCTTTGCGCGCTCATGTGCACGGGCCTCCATGGCTTCAGAGAGGGGGAGAGGGTTGAGTTTAGTACACAGTATTCTTCTGTTTCAAGAGTGGATGTTTATGCATATTTCCTCAGTCATATACTCAGCACGTAACTGGGAGTTAAGGTAAACATGAGTGCTACTATTGTGTTGGACTACAGACTTCAAGGGTTTTATGTCTCCATATGTGTGACATTCAGGGTCATGCAATTTTCTTGACAATGGAGCTACAACATTCTTCCATGGCTACATATGTAATGTATATGTAAATGAGAGTTTGTGTATGTTGTCTTTGCCGTTAAGAGCTTGCTGAGCGGGAGGAACTTGCAGACTGACCCGTGATGATTGGATGGGGAGATCTCTGGCGTGTGACAACTTTCCTGTCAGGTTCTCCAGCAACTCTCGGTGCCCTGCAACAGTAACAATCACCACCAGAAGCACAGAAACAAAGGCCCGTCATAACATTCACATCTTCCTGATCCTCTCCTGGCAAATCCTATTCAGACAGGTACCAACTTAAGGCAAACTCGACTAACATGTGTCAGGCTGTCCATAAATCTGTAAATGGATTTCAATGAATTGCAACTGGAAACAGTTACAAACTATATTCAAGGTTGTATAGACTTCTTGGATATTTCAACTATAATAACATAAATCTATAATTATATATGTACAAACCTCCTGCTCCTCTGTTCTCTATAAGCTTTAAAGCCCCTCTGTAGCTCATCTGTTTCTTTTTATCTACTCCTATGTGATTTGTATTTAATAAGGAAAGCTATAAACGGATTAACAAACTTTACCCCAGTTCAGTAAATTAACACCTATGTTGCTTTGAACATGATATACACACACATCTAGAGCTTGGCTGCTTTACATTTTGGTGAAGTGCAATGCGCCCACCTCTGCTCTGTGCGATCAAAGCTGTGGCTCTTTGGTTTCGAGCCTCCTAGCATTGACAGCTGAGTAAGCTGTGCAGTTTTCTCTGTTTCCAGCTCCAGGCTCACCACGCTGTGCTCCTCCTTCAGCCGTGCAATTTGCTCCTGCTGCTCCTTCAGCAGCTTCCTCTGCTGCGTGATGATCTGCTGCTGGACGGCGTGTCTGTTTTCAAACCTGGCGCCCGGCGACGCTGCGCTTTTTGAACAGGTAGAGCCACTGCCCTCGCCTCTCTGCCGTGCCTCGCGGAGCTCAGCGGCTGTCGGGGCTGCATGCTGTCGGGTAACCTGCCATGGATGAGTGGGCGGGGCCAAAGTGGCCACAGGGGTCTTATTCTCATGTACTGCGGAGGCATCGGGTGCTAAAGTGCCTGACCTGTGGTGATCTTGCTACAGAGAAGGAGACAGGACAGATATGAAGATGGTATTATGAGTACAAACTGACCCTTTACATCTGGGTCTACAGAGCGCTTAAAGGGGATAATAGATACAGGATCAAGCTCCTTAATCTGTAGTAAGCTCCAGGAATCCTGATATAGAAGCAGCAGGGGCCTGATAGCGAGTATGGACTCTTGACTGACCCCTACCATATCACCTCATGGAACTCCAACTTCATCTCCTGCCCAGTTTTTTTCCCATCCCTCGAGCTCTGCTCCACTATCCTACACCTCTTATTTCTCCCTAGCATTCTTTCCATTTACCTTCCCGTTCCCTATGTTTACTCCTTCTTTACTGCTCTCTCACTCAAAAAATTTCTGCCTGGCTGACACACTAAGAAAGGTTCGGTTTGTTCTGACATCCCAAACAAAACTTTTTTTAAAATTCAGTTTGGTGCCAAATTCATTTATTGCCTGAGTAATAAGGCCTTTGCATCACCTTGCAGGGATAGGGCTGGTTTCACTCAAATGTGATTTGTTAGGTTGTTTTGAAGCGTAAATAAATTAAGATTTTTAATTACCATTTTAATTAATCCCTGTGCATTGTTCCTGCCGATACGAGGTGCACCGCTCACCTTCTCTGTGTTCTCTGGTTGGTTAGGTGCCTCAGGTGGGGTCATTATTGGCTGATAAGTAGGGGTTTCGGTGGCTTTGAGTGTGCCTGTTGCTGCAGCGCTGATTAGGGCAGTCATCTTCCGCCGGGTCTCCTGCTGCTGGGCCAAAAGCTCTCGTTGCTCCCTCTCCATCCGACACCATAGCTGCCACTCATTCAGACATCGCCGTAGCAACCGCCTTCGGTCGCTCTCCACAGCCAGCTGGCATTGTCTGGAGGAGGCAACAGATGTGATGGTATTTTTAACCCTCAATTGCTACGTGGCCAGGGTGACGGGATATAAATGCAGCGAGTGTCTTCTAGAAATACTGTGATAATGAATATTGAACATTGTGTCATTTGTGGTTAAAGGCAGGATTTATTCAATGAAAGGTAAAAAGGAAGCTTTAACGTCATTTCTTTTTTGGTTCTTGCCTGTGTCCAGCTCGTAGCTCCTCCTCTGTTCTCGCCACATCTCGCCGCCTTTGTTCTGCCCACACCACTGCTCGCCACGCTCGCCACGCTCTCAGCTGCCTCTTCCAGTCACAGAGGGCCGTGACCTTGCCCAGACGTAGCCTTCGGTCCAACACCGCTGAATACCATCCAGAAAAATGCCTTTGCAGACACTAAAACATGCACACATATGCATGCAAACAGGCAGGCCCATAAGTTAAGAGAATTTCCATTTGCTATACCAACCTGCAAATACACACACACACACACACACACACACACACACACACACACACACAGTACAGGTACCAACCTTGAGATTACGGATTTGAATCATGGTTTGAATTTTCTGTTCTTTATATAATCGCTCTGTGTCCTGCTGCTGCTGTTTTGTGGGAAGTGGAGGAGCTGACTGGAGGGTTCTGGCTGCCTTCAGCCCTTCCACTCTCTCCCTTTCCCTGTGGAATAAACATAAATACTACTTTGTCTACCGGGGAAACAAAGTATAGCAGTCATCTCCAAACATTGCATACATATTCACGTTTTTCCATAAACCATATCCACTGGAATTGACCCAACTGGTTCTTTTTCTCTTGCCCTTTTGTTTATTATTATTTTTATTTTTATGCGCTCCAATATTGTATTTTTGGGGCTGAGTTAGCTTTTTAGCACTTTAAATAATTTTTTAAAGATCAATAAAAATCTCGTAATTACAAAACTAAAGTCCTGCAAAATATAAGCCTAAATCATTTTAGTTATGCAGGCAACATTCCCATCCGCCTCAGCTGTACTTTGCGTTTAGTGCTAATTAGCAAATATTAGCCAGCTAACCTGTTAAAACAAGATGGGGAACATGCTCAACATTACACGTGCTAAAGATCAGCATGTTAACATTGTCATGATGAGCGCGTTTTTAGCATCATTTTAGATTTAGTGTAATATCCACGTCTGCTATTGCATTATTGAGTATTTTTGTGTTGTGTTGTCACTTTGTAAGTCATGGCCAAACACCTCTCCCATTATTTTTCCAAGAGTCATCCAATTTCCCACTTGATGTTGTTACACCTAAACTAGAAAGTGTATCATTAATACTATTCTTGGTTATAGATCTAAAGGTGTCATTTCCACATGGGGACAACAGATGACTGTTTTTATCAAAGGATGTTCATGATGAAAGTAGGACACATTTACAGTCTGATCATGCTGGTCAAGGGCTTTGGGTCAGGGAGCTGGATCATCACAGGCTTGCTTTTCAAATCCACCCAATCCACCATAGGAAGGTGGAGCAGGCATCACATACAATGCAATCAGACAAGAGAGTGAGAGCCATTTCAGATAGAGGTGAGTGTTGTAACCACTTTAGCAGAGGCCAGTTGTTGCTATAAATACCATACCTCTGTCGAACGAGCTGCTCCAGGCCTCTCCTCTCCTCCATCTGACGCCGCAGTCTCACCATCTCCTGCTGCACCATCTCCTCCTGCCTCCATGCCTCCTGCTTCTTCCTTGTCTCCTCGCCTCGCTCCCTCCTCTTCGCCTCCTCTCGGGCCCCCCGCTGAGCCTCCCTCACTCTCTGTTGTCTCTGCCTCTCAGCCTCCCGCCGGGCCCTGTTCTCCCGCACCTTCAGTAGCAATCAGTATCAATTAAAGCAGATGAGAACACAAACTCGTCCCAGTTGATTGGCTCACAGTGGCAGTTTCCCGGCCCACAGCATTCACATCTTGTAAGCAGCTTGAGGAATTTGAGACTCACTTTGGTCGCTTACCTGCAGGTGTCGTGCTTCCATGGTGACGATCGGGTTTCTGACCTTCTTCCTTGTCTGCCCGACATCGAGGGCCAGCTCCTCCATCACGCCAGAGTCCAACACCTTTTGCTCCATCAGGTCTTGTAGGAAGCTGTTAACAGCGCTGTGCTCTTCCTCCTCAGTCAGGCAGTTGTACAAATCTAAATATTTTTGAAGAGAAGTATTATATAGATATTTATTCCATTCACTTGAAATAATTTGTACTTTAAATTACTGCTGAACGTTTTGCAAAGCATACAAAACATTTCTAGATTGATTTCCTTCCTTTTAGGCAGCTACTGATTTCAGTTAATTTCATCACAGGGTGAAAATGTGCCGAGACTCAACACATGCTTGAGATAGATCATCTATTAGTTAACCATAAATATTATATATTATGTTTTCAACAACTATTGTAGTGCAGCAACAAAATGTGCTCAACTTCAACATCTAAGATTTGGTGGAAACCATTGAATTCAAATTCTGTTGTAGGAATATATAGAATAGAATAAAATAGAATACAGTATTAATTTGTGCAAAACAACTGGTACAGTCAGTAGCTCTTACATGACTTGGGTTTGAAGAAGGCTGAGACTGACCTAGGGGGTCTAATTCTCTGTGTGTTGGTGGTTGTGTGAACATTAACAAAAGTTTGGAGTCAGGGTTACATGATAATGACTAAAGGTTCCTTTGGGGTAAACTACTCCTTTAAAGGTGTTCTGCACTAACCTTTGAAGTATTTATCTATAAACCATAGCTTTAATTCATTAGTCTCATTATTTATTTTTTTCTGCTTGTGATGTCAAATGCAAACCTCCCACTTCCCATTATGGCTAGGGAAGTCAAATTTGAACTGGTCTTGATTAATTAAAATAATGAGCCTCATGGTTAGTTGGATAGGTAGCGCAGTTTTCATCCTTGACTTTGTACCATTAAAGTTGCTGTAGTTCAGGGCTGCCGGCTGAGGACTAGCCAACGCAGCAGGGCTTCTCCTCTCGGCAGAGCTCATCAGGTCATCGTCCTCCTCCATCTCCAGCTCCAGCCGCAACTTACTGCTCAGCCAATCACCAAGAAGAGCCTGAGCTGCAAGGGGCAACCACCCAAATATAATTGTTCATTCTGCTGCTGCATGGGTTCAGCTTTATTATCTAGGTAACACTTCTCTTGAGACACCGCTTTTTACGGGCTGACCTACCTTCACTATAAGCGTCATCGTGATCCCTTAACTGCTCAGAGTGTTGCAATGGTACAGCCAGGCTGCTGGTTCCTGAATGAGGTTTCTTATGAGAGAAGACTTCAGATACAGCAAACTCGGAAGCCATCTCCACACGCTGAGGACAGGAAAATAGGTGACAGAGTAATGATCACTTTCATCAATTAATCTGATGAATATTTCATAAATTGTTTAGTCTCTATATGGCAGAAAATACTGAAAAAATCAGCCCAAGGTGACTTCTTCAGATTGATTGTTTTGTCCACCAACAGTTCAAAACTCAAAGGAATTCAGTTTACAAGAACATGCCTCATTGAAATACACATTCCTCTCACCTTTCTCCACTGATCAATATCACTATTCTTCACGTGCATCTGTTCCTGAAAGAAAAACAATTTCCAGTGTAAGCTGATACTCTTTGCAAGAGAGACCATGGGGCCCATGAAAATGCTGGTCACCGTTGCCTGCTTGAAAATGCTCAGCCAAGCTTATGGACACCTTGAGCTGTGGGCGCATTGTGCAAATTGAGGGCTGAGCCAGTGCCTGATGTCTGCGGATTATTTCACAGGAAAGATTAGCTGTTGCCTTAAACCAGCAGATTACTTCAAAATCATTTCCCAGACATCCAAACGTCAGCGCTTTACTTGCAGCGATTCAGCTATCTCCTTCTCGGGCTGCAGGCATGGGAGTATGTAAGAAAGGCCATCTGTATGACATTTCTAAATCATCCCCTGATAGGCATTAACGCTGATCGGGTGCTCCTTCATTCATAAACCCAACAGGGCACTTTTACATTTATGTTTGACCTCTCTGGAGTATTTGATAATCCCGGGGATAAAGGTCTGGAAAGTGGTAAATTGACTGAAAAAACATTTCCGTTTAGATAAAAGAACATGTTGATGTGAGCACATTGGATTTATTTATCATGACAAGGCAGCCACTGTTTAACACACCAGACCAAAATGTTATAGAAGCCATATATCTCTCAAATTAACATTAGCCTAATCCAAAGACTAAATTTACCTTATCTGCAGATGTTTTACTCTTGCTGAGTCTCCTCCACCTAAACAGGTGAGGGTTGTGACCTGGGAACGTCATCATCTGTTTAATTATACACTTTTACCTCTCCTACTATAATGCAATCACAGCCATCATTACAATGTCCTCTTCTACAAACCATAAAGCTATTTCACACAAAAAGTGTTCGGAAGTCACTACAAAGAGCCCAAGCAATGCAGGACCTGTACACAAAACTGCCAATGAGTTGAGTCACTTAGGATTCTGGGTAATGTAGTTAATTAATAATTTTACTAGGCTCATTGTCGCGTCACGGGAGCATTTCAGGACTACAGGTCCCAATAGACTTTGTTTGTAGTTCAGGCGGCTCTCTGGTAACCATGGCAACGTTGTTGACGTCCCCAAATGAGCCCAAATTGCGTTTAAAGAAATTCATTCATTCATTCATTCAAGACAAGTTATTTAAAGGTGTGTAAATCGTTAAAACACAGCACAACAACTAGGTGTTTTTACCAAAAAAAGGAGGAACGGCCATTGCAGCACGGCGCTATTTTGTAGTTGTTTTTTTTGTAAATCTTTATTGCATAAACAGCAATAAAGTCTACATGTGACATGGAGACGTATACATAACAGTTTATATAACACCCAAATAATAAGAAAAACAAAAAAAAAATAATATTGGATGATATGATATTTAAAGAGTTGTTTTCACAGCCTTTTTTGTTGACATAGTGAACAACCTCTTGGAGAAAAAGTTCAAAGTTAGGTTTTTTTAATGCTGAATTTACATTTATGAAGGTGTAATCTTGCCATTATAATGAACACATATATACTATACATTTATTAAAGTACTTCTTTTGTTTTCTTTGACTTTTATAAAAGCAAAATACCACATTGTCCCACATTAATGCAAAATCTCTCCCGCCGCGGCCGGTGATGACGACATATTTCCACGACTTGTAGTTCCTGTCAGGCAGTGAGATTGGTAGGTAAGCAACTGAAAGATGTGCTTAAATTAAAAACGTGTCTCATTCAAGCCAGCACAACTCTGGATGCGTAGGTTTTGTTAACGTGCGTCTTTAAAGGCATTAAACGTCTCAACTTGACAGCAGTTTGCATAAAGTCGTAACCGGTCGTAACACGTGATTGGATAAGCTAACGTTAGTTAGCTAACGTTACGTGGCTAATACACACGCTTTTATACCAACGCTAGCATTAAACATTGTGGTTTAGGTGTTGTATGTTAGTGTCGTACACTGAATCTTTTTTTTAGAGCACGTTGACTGCGGCTACTCCTATGGCTGGCAGCATCAGGATGAAGCTTGAGCTGAGACGCGTGGTTCAGGGAAGGAGTCGGCTGGGTGTCCTGAAGGGGTTCGGCAGGACGGGACAGCACTCTCTTGAGGTCCCGGGGTGTCTGCTGTACACACGCTTTGGCACAGTGCCCCACCTCACCCAGGACACACTGCACACCCTGAGCAACCTCCCCTCTGTCACTCAGGTCACACTGTCCAATATGTAAGCTAAATTCAACACACACACACACACACAGATCTGTCTGAGATGTAACGCCCATCTGCATCATTTTTTCTTTTCTCAAGAGCAGAGCACCAAGAAGTGTTGGAGGAGTTTAAGGATGGATTCAGGAAGTTTGCAGGTACTTCTATTCAATCACACTTTTCTTCTTCTATTCCAGAGAATAAACTCGGAGAGAGGAGTAAAGAGCATATGTTGGGACAAAACAGCATTGATAGAGATAATCATCAGTAGATCTTGATGACACTCAATGCTATTCCAGTGAATTCAGATTTATTCAGTAATGATGAAAAGGTAATCTATCAGCAGATTTTTAACAAACTGAACTGTTGTGTTTATATTAACACAGTGGAGCTTTATTTACAGCCACCTAAACCTGTGTTTCGACCAAAGGAACCATACTCGAGCTACAAGGTACAAGGTAGTTAATTAGTCATTATATAGCACAAGGCTGCATAACGAAACAAATTTCGTAGTTCCTTCATGCTACACACACAACATATTAAGTGTAGGCCTATATTAAAATATGGTAACAAATAAAATAAAACAGTATATACAGTTATTTACATAGGCTACACATATACACCCCAAACATTCCACAGTGCATTTTTTGAATTTGCATCTGGGGTGAATGTAACCTTTGGAGGAACTCACTGCGTTTCCACCGACTGCCTTGCAGTGAATTTCTGAATGGGCAATAGAGGCTACTGGTTTCAACTGAGCATGTAGGCTGTTTTTCTACTGACTTCTCCTCTCGTTTCCACCGTTGTTTGCAAACCAATAAATCACAATCAACAGTCAGAAATAGCCACACAAGTCTCGTCCATCAGCATTAAATGTATTGCTCGGAAAGCAGCCAGCGTGCAGCGCTGTGTTTACAGCAAACAGCTGATGGAGTTACGCTAAATACTGGGTCCGAAGTTGTTCTTTTAAGTTTTCATCAGTCAGGAAGTTTCACACAAAGCTGCTCAGGCGGACACAGGCGGGAGTCTGGCCAGTTGATCTGCAGCTCTTGTCGGCTGGGAATGTTTTAATAACCTTCCAAACTGGCGCAATTTTATTTTTGTGTTGCTTTCTCTGTGCTGGAGTTATTTTAAGAACTTGATGGCTTTATCCTGTGTGTTATTAAATGTGTAACGAACTTCATCGTGTGTCTCTCCATTATACTCCACACAAAAAAAGCTGCTTTAATGGTCAAGCATAGCCTATATTTATCAAATCTGATGTTCATTTATAAATTTTGCTCATGGACAGGGGCGTTTCTAGACATAAAGCTCTACTGGGTTACAGACAGACACAGAGTGAATGAAATGTGTTGGTATGTGCCTTACCAGCTTCCCTTGCTTAGCCCATTAACATTGGCGCTGTTATGTCGGAAAGGGCTTTGATCAGAGCATAAGCACACACACCTATCACACCTAAGAAAAATTCTGCTATGGGGCCCTCATACCTGACTTGTGAGCCATGTAAACAATTTTCCACTGCTGCACAGGCACTCCTGACACTGCAGTGCTCTCACCTCTCCTTTAAAACAGTCTGTCTCTGTAATAAGCCTGAATGGAAACCTCTTCTAGAAAATACCACTGCTGATTTGAATGGACCTCTACACACTGTTCTCCATTCAATTTAATTCTCCATTAGGGTCTGAGCTGCTTGTATCTGATGCTGCCTGTAGACCTCTAGCTGTGCTTTTACTGGCTTATGATCCAGCATGTACTCTACTGACAAACTTCAGCACAGCCCCTGTAAATACTTGCAGATAGATATAGATATTAATGTTATCAGCTGCTTCAACCTCATTCAAACTGGCTCCCAGAGGTATATACTGCAGGAAGGAAGGAATATACTATTAATATAACTGAGTATGATGTTTATTATTTACTGAAAGATGTACAACCCCAATTCCAATGAAGTTGGGACATTGTGTAAAACGCAAATACAAACAGAATACAATGATTTGCAAATCCTTTTCAACCTATGTTCAGTAGAATACACCAAACAGACAAGATATTTAATGTTCAAACTGATAAACTTTATTGTTTTTTGCAAACATTCACTCACTTTGAATTTGATGCCTGCAACATGTTCCGAAAAAGCTGGGACAGGGGCATGTTTACCACTGTGTTACATCACCTTCCCTTTTAACAACACTCAATACTCGTTTGAGCACATGTTCACGTGCGACATGGTTATCTTTTCCGTTCTGCAAACATCATTGCACGTCGACGCTTATCAAACGTAATAAATAGATGCATTTCACTCTAATATTGTTCACAGTCCTGCAAGAAACCAAGACAAAAACAGACCTAGTTGCGCTGCCCAGCTGGGTTAGCAGGACAAAGATTCACTGCAGCTACACATGTACCTGCTCGCATAAGACTTTCAGAGGAGAGAACACAACTTTATGTTGCATGTATATCCTTGCTAACTTGACATGTCCAAAAACGACGCTAAGGGGTGTTGACAATCTTTCTGGGGCACTGCACATGGATACAGGGGTGCATGCCCTACTAAAAAGGGTCTGGCAACGCCTATGCTTATGGATAGTGGTTATTAAATAATGATGCCTGTGCATCACTTTGTACATTGTATAGGCCTACAGCCTACATCAGCGGGTTGATTTGCCTAATCTTCGCAGGTCTTTAGACCACGGTGGAAACGCCCACAACAATGGGCTGAAGGAACCTATTAGTTCCTTTATTAAGCCGTGTTTGGTCAAAACGCGGCTTAATAAAGGCACCACACTAAGCACGCATCTTCAAATATTGCATTTTTATAACATTGTTGGATTTGCTTTAATATGTGCATGTACTGCACAACTGCAAATTAGTATGAACTGGTGTTAGTAATCTGATACTCCGTATTGGTCAAAACATTGGATCAGATAATATAGGAAATTATTTATACCTGAGTATTAAATCAAATAGCAGTGTCATATGACAACAGTAGCCACTCAGTGCTGAAATGCTATTTTAAGCAAAGTGTATTCATACAAATAGTTTATTATTAACAGCTTTTTATTATGAGATTTGAAGTTTCTTCCAGACCTCAAAAACAACAATTGACAAAAATAGTCTCACCACAAGTGAGTTCACCCAGCAGCTATTTTATTCCTCCAGTTTCAGCTTTAAAGCCAGCATGGATGAGAAGTCTGTGCAATACAATTTAAAAACTCCACAGCAGGCACTGAGTGGACCTTGTGGAGCAGCAGGGATGGACTGGGAATAATAAATGGACAAAACAGCAGTTTAAACAGTAGTTTGTTTTTCTTCATGAAATCCTTGTGCAAGAAAAATGGTCTAAATTTGGTGTTTAGTTTCGAATGTGCTAAGTGCTAACTTGTCAGTAGTCTTAATCATTCATGCATAACAAGTTCAACATTTTGAAAGATTGCTGTATTATCCCGCCCCCATGCGATTGTTTGTTTGGTTCGCAAAAATTGACATTGACGAGTGCATTTACTTTATGAAAAGTTGTTTCAACAAAAGGCACCCAATACATCTAAATAGCCAGCTAGCCAAACCTTGATTCAGTTTAACTTCTTTCGCATTACTCTGATCTACCTGTTTTATGGGCTGGTCAGACAAGAAAAAGGAAAAAAGAATAAGACAGTTGTGTCTTCCCAAAAAGACATACATCAAGTTGTGATATTGGAAGTGGGAAAAGTGTTATCTAGAAATCCCCCACAGTAGTGTGTGAATACACCTACCAGCATTACATTCATTAACTGACCATGTTTGTGAACATTTACAGACGCTTAACGGGGTTGTGAGTGTAAATATCTTTCTCAAAGTTGTCTTTTTTTCCTCCCTTGCAATAGACTGATCGATATGTCTCTGCTGAAGTGCATGGCATTTTACTGTCTGTCCTTTTATTGAAGTTTTATTAGTCAATTAAAACTCATCTGTCATAAAAAAACCCCAGCAAAATCTGATCCGACTCATCTCAAAGGTGTAGAGGAGGAAGGAGACAATTGCAAATGTTGCAATTTTGAATGAACCTTGCTGTTCGGCTTTGCTGTGCTTGTTATTTAACCACTGGCATTAATCATGTTTTAAATAACAACCACATCAGAATAACCTCTGCCATACTCTATATCCTGCACCGGTGTGACTAGTTGATTGAATGTCACGTATGCATGATGCACACATTTACTTTGAAGAGAGTAGGGTGAACTTTATTGCCACTGGCTAAATTGGAATAACTGGAGCAAATTGCTTCTAAATAAACAGTATGTTGAGTTCAGTGTTGAAAAGCTGATTAGCTCCCTCATCCTGGCTAAAAAGTGCTTGTTTGTAAGTAAGTAATATTTATATAAATGCCCCAGAAGTGTGACCTCATTCAGCTTTGCTGTACAACAGTAAGCTTTCCCCTGCCTCAGGCAACCAAATTTAAAATTACAAATGTAATCACTGTGGCGCCACTTGTTGTAAATTGTCAGGGGATTACAACTGAGCTGTCTCTTAAGTCCCAAAAGGGAAGAGCAGTGATTGAATAATTAGAAATAATAACAGCATTTGTTGCTATTAAGCCATTTCTTTTCTCACCTTTTGATCATCTGCTGCAGCTGGGTTTGCTGATAAGGCCAAACCTCTCTCCTCACTCGTCACATTAACATGCAGTAATCAAGTGTCTTCACTCCGTCACCTTCCTTCATGCTCGGCCTGTAACCCTCTGCCTTGCTTCGTACTCTGTGAGTGATGTGCATTGATTGTTTTGTTTTGTTTTGTTTTGTGCAGGTCTTCATGATACTGTGTTGTACTGCTCGCTCCATGACCCTGCGGCCGCATGCCCTACCGGCTATACCACTAACCAGGTGAGATTAAGCTTCTGCTGAAAGGCATGTGCTCCATGGGATATATATGTAGATTAGCTTAGTTTAGTATAAAAACTGGGAACATGGTGAAACACCTACCCTGGCTCTGTCCAAAGGAAGCTGCTTACCAGCACCTCTTAAGCTCCAAAGTGTATACAAAGAAAGGTTGTGGTTTTACAGGGTTTATATTTTGGACTATTTCTTGGCTCGGGAGCAATTACCAGGAACCAGCAGAGGCTATAGGAAGTCACAGCCATTGAACCACTTTGTACACTTTGTTTATGTTCATTATTGAGCTTTAGAGGTTCTGGTAGGGGGGAGATGTTGCCTTCAGACAGAGCCAGCCTAGCTGTTTACCCCTGTTTCCAGTCTTTATGTTACGCTAAGACAACATGTAGCTGTGAGATTGGTATCAATCCTCTCATCAAGTCTTGGCAAGAAAGCAAATAAGAGTTTTCCCACCAGTCAAAGAAATTCAGTGTCTAGCACCACTGTTTGTTATATATATGTATGTTATCAGACGGTGTCCGTGTGGGGCAGCGGTGGGCGGATAGAGCTGACAGTGGCCAAGTTCATGGCTCTCCAGAAGGCCGTGCAGCCGGATTGGTACCAGAGCATGGCAGACGGAGAGACGTGGCAGAACAACACCTCTCGCAAAAGGGTCCGAAAGTCGGTAGATCGAACTCTTGCCCACTTGGATGAGTGTCTGCTGGTGCACCAAAAATCACAGGTACACACACGCAACTGTCAGTCCAAACACGCACACCGCTGTTCTCTTAACATATGCGAATCAGTCATGCACGGCGCAAGCACTCGGGACAAGGATGGATGGCTGGTATTTTTGTTGTCACGGGGGCCGCTGTGCAGCTGTGCTACAGCTAGAAATGCAGTGAGATTAGGAGGAATATGTTGTTTGTGCAAGGGCTCGGCATCTTGCGTGGCTAATGAAATCGGCTGTCTTTCTTTTGCAGTAAAACGCTACCTCATTTCATGAGAGAGAGCTGAACTGATTGAGGCTGAAATATACATATAACACCTTAACTCAGTTATGCTAAGAGGAGATAATACATGACTGTATTGCTCCAGTCCTAGGAGATCTGTTGCTTAATTTATAGTAAGTAGGTTGTTGTTTGTTTGTGGTTGCATTTTTGTATTTGTCTATATTATGTGTTCATTTCACTGCCTGCATGCCCAGACTGCATTTAAGTGCTCTTCAGTGTACTTTATTGTCTGAGGGGGAAACCAAAGTTCCCTTGGGACAATAAATGTTAAGTGTAGAAAGATGTTGAGCAAAGAGGCAAACCGAACCAACAGCATACTTTAGATTATTCTTGACATCAACAATGTACTGCGTGAGCTGCTTGATTGCTACCCATCACTCCCCAAACCCCTACTGCTTGTTTCCTCTTCATGATGGGCAGCTTCATGTAGAGTCACCAAAGTCATGATGGGCTCTGGCAAGAATAAAACCTATATTTTATTTCTGATCACGCACCATGTGTGTTTAGAAAAATCAGCTCTAATGTCTTAACATCTATGTTCCTCTTTTCTCCTTCAATCTCTTGCTCTTCTTTCTATCTTTCAGGATTTCTTTCTGTCATTTGTTTAATCTCCACTCTGTCATTTCCAGGAGTTGGAGGGAGTGGAGGTGTTCGGGGTGGTGGAGGGAGGAGACATCTTGGAAGAGAGGCTGCGCTCAGCCAGGGAGACAGCCAAGAGGCCAGTGGCGGGATTTTGCCTTGACGGCCTCCAGACTGGGGCCATGGACCAGACCCTGAGGACCCAGCTCATCACTGCTTTGACCAAAGAGCTGCCTGAGGACAAACCCAGGTCAGCACTGCTTGTGACTTGTGTGAGAAATATGTTTGATTACAGTTGAATAGGGAGATGCCCCCCCCCAACTAATCATACAGTGATCTCCCCCAGTGTTTAATTGAAAAGTGGTCAGTGAAGAGATAAAATCGACTTCAACCAAAAGAAAGGAGGCGCAGCGGGTGGGTGGATAATCAGTACCTTCTGTTAGTCATTATCTTGACGTCAATAACAAAGAAGCATGTTGTGTATTTATCCAGCAGTTTAAGAACAGCCCGTGGATGCTCGACAGTTTATCCAAACAGACACAAAAAAGTTTCCTGCAGTGATTTTCATCATCAGTTAATTTGTTGATTTTGATCAATAATTAACTTTATAAATTTATTTAATCTTTTGTCTAAAATATCAGAAAATATATTAATATATTAAAAAAAAGGAAAGCGGAACATTTTTGTGAACCTCTAATAAGGAGAAGCTCAATATTTTGATTATCTACCAAAACGATTAATCATTCACAAACATTAAATAGATTAATTCTTTGCAACAGATAAATTGATGAACTATTTATTCCTGTAATTCATTTTAATTTTTCTTAAATTAACAAACCATTGCAGCAGTGTGATGTTGTGGCGATTATGGCCGTCCTGTGTGCAAAACAATGTAATTGAGAGATTGATCCCAGTTGGTGGCTCTGGCTCGATCAGTTAATTATCCTGCTTGATTGATTTCAAGTAAAGACCCAGCAGCTCTGCCGTGCTCCCCCCAACCCCTCCACACTCTGTCAGCAGTCATTATCTCAGCACGAACTTAAAGGATAGTACCGGTGTCATTAATAGTGTAGCATTGTCTGCTCATAGTAATTGCCATTTTTCTCTTGAAATGTGCTCACATTTTGTCATTTGTAAAATACAACATTCACACAAATACAAACCATTTGAAACTAACAACTGTCCTGGCTAACATGAGCTATGTTTCAACCAAAGGAACTATACCCCAGAACTAGGAACCTTTGGAGGAACTCACTGTTTTTCCACTGGAGGGTCTAGATGTAGATCTGGGGTCTTCATTTTACCCCCCAAAAGTCCCTTCTCGGGGGGTTGCGATTTTATATTTGTGTTGCTTTCTCTGGTCTGGAGTGATTTTTAGAACTTGAGGATTTTTTCCAGTTTGTTATCCACACAAGTCTCTCCGACGTCTGCCTGAGATCGTATGTCGGCATTAAATCTATAGCTGGGAAATAGCAGCCAGCTGCAGCGGTGTGTTTACAGTGAAAACCTGATGGAGTTACGCTAAATACTGGGTCCGAAGTTGTTGTTGTTTTAAGTTTTCATCCGGCAGGAAGTTTCTACACGGAGCCAAAGTCGGTCTCCTCTCCGAAACAAGCAGAACAGCTGATTACAGCAGGTTATTAAAGCTCGTTAAACATCCCGTTCCTCCAACGCAGGCGGACACACACGTGAGTGCTGCAGCTGATCTGCAGCTCTTGTCGGCTGGAAACACTTTATCGTGTGTCTCTTCATTACACACAAAAAAACTGCTTTAATGGTCAAGCTAAGCCTGTAGTTTTTCATTATATTCCAGTCAAATCTGATGTTCATTTATAAATGTTGCTCATGGATAGTGGTTACAAATAATGATTCCTGTGCATCGCTTTGTACGGCGTATAGGCCTACAGCCTATGTCAGCTGGTTCATCTGCCTAATCTTCACAGGTCTTTAGACCACAGTGGAAACGCACACAACAGTGGGCTGAAGGAACCTTTTAGTTCCTTGAAAAGAGATCTGGGGACTTAAAAGTCCCGGGTACTTTTGGTCGAAAAGCGGCTATAGATGTTGAACAAAAAAAGACATAGATTTTACAATAAGTGACCATAAAGCTTATTTTGTGGTGGAGACATAATTTCTTTGCTGTGTTAGTGTCAGATGACTGACAGCAAGGAGAGCACAATATAGTATAGTCTATTATTACAAATGTAATGCCAAAAACAGAAACTTTGACAAAAGGATTATTTAACTTTGCCAATTTTGAATAATCTGACAAATACGTAGAATTGGTTGGTGTCTTCTCTTTTACATTATTAAGTGAATAAGAGCTGAAACAATTAGTTCATTAATTGATGAACAGAAATTAATTGCTCAACTCTCTCTATAGTTTCAGCTTCTCCAGTGTGATGATTTGCTGCTTCTCTCAGTTTTACATCGTTATAAATTGAATATCTTTGAGTTTGGACTGTTGGTCAGACAAAAACAGTAATATTGAAGACGTCATCTTGAGCTCTGGGAGCTTGTGATTGACACTTTTCTCTGTCATGTTATGTGAATTTATCAATGAACGGATGAATTTAATGATAATGATTGTTTTTGCAGCCCTAAACATAATCTCACATTAAGATTAAAACACTCTATTTCATTCTATTTCTGTGAATGGAATATTAAATAACATAAAGTAGCATCTTCTGAAAATATTAAAAACAGCACTTAAGTCTCAAACCAGAATGTCCTCCTACACAGTCCCATTTAAAGGCATGCAGAAACAAACTTTCTCTAGAAGTTACTGGTTCTCCAAACTACATAAGCCTGTAGCCTTTCACAGGCTTTTCATTCCTCTCCTGGGGGTGATGGAGGAGCTCTGGCAGCGGTTCTGAAAATGAGAGAGCAAGGACCTGTGTGCATCCAGAAGCTTCCTGCGAGCTTCGGTTTTGCTTGTGAACGGGCTCATCTCAAATACTGTGGGACACCAGCCCTGCTGGTAGTTCTGGCTTTTAGGAGATGCTGCTTCCTGCTGGAAAGTGGAGTAATTATCAATTGCTAAATTGGGCTTGACCTTGGTGCCTGCAGGCAGAGAGTCCGAGTGAGCCGGTTAACTGCACACCGCACAAACACACAAGGGTACGCATGTTGTTAGAGGTTAGAGAAATGCTGCTGGTGTTTGTGCCTCTTGTCTAGTAGTAACATGTTGTTAGCGGGGTTGTGTATTACATAAATGTTTGATATATTTAATTTTTCATCTATTGCTTTGCTTCCTGCAGTTGTTGTGCGTGCTCATTGACCGCGTTTGTTTGTGTGTGACTCTCAGACTGCTGCAGGGTGTAGGACGGCCTGATGAGGTGCTGGCGTGCGTGGAGGCCGGCGTGGACCTTTTCGAGAGTTTCTTCCCCTTCCAGGTGACAGAGCGAGGCTGCGCTCTTTTCTTCAGCTTTGACATCTCCCCGGACCCGGAGCGCGCAGGTAGAGCGCCCCCTGCAGGTGTGGTGTATAACTAGGCTGAAAAATAGTTTTGTTACAAATTTGATTAGACGTTACATCATTTAGAGGATAAACCAAACTACTGAAAGAAAGTTGAACTTAAGATCAGTAGATATTATTATATATAATAATATATATATTATTATAAAATTTGCATATCGTGCACAAGTTCATTTATTTTAGTAATTCAACTTAAATGGTGAAACTAATATATTATATAGACTCATTACATGCAAAGTGAGATATTTCAAGCCTTTACTTGATATAATTTTGATGATTATTGCGTACAGCTTAAGAAAACCCCAAATTCAAAATCTCAGAAAATTAGAAGATTGTGAAAAGGTTCAGTATTGTAGGCTCAAAGTGTCACACTCTAATCAGCTCATTAATCCAAAACACCTGCAAAGGGTTCCTGAGCCTTTAATTGGTCTCTCAGTCTGGTTCAGTGGAATTGACAATCATGGGGAAGACTGCTGGCCTGACAGCTGTGCAGAAAACCACCATTGACACCCTCCACAAGGAGGGAAAGCCTCAAAAGGTAATTGCAAAAGAAGTTGGATGTTCTCAAAGTGCTGTATCAAGGCACATTAATAGAAAGTTAAGTGGAAGGGAAAAGTGTGGAAGAAAAAGGTGCACAAGCAGCAGGGATGACCGTAGCCTGGAGAGGATTGTCAGGTAAAGGCCATTCAAATGTGGGGGAGCTTCACAAGGAGTGGACTGAGGCTGGAGTTACTGCATCAAGAGCCACCACACACAGACGGGTCCTGGACATGGGCTTCAAATGTCGTATTTCTCTTGTCAAGCTGCTCCTGAACAACAAACAACGTCAGAAGCGTCTTACCTGGGCTAAAGGAAAAAAGAACTGGTCTGTTCTCAGTGGTCCAAAGTCCTCTTTTCTGATGAGAGCAAATTTTGCATCTCATTTGGAAACCAAGGTCCCAGAGTCTGGAGGAAGAATGGAGAGGGACACAATCCAAGATGCTTGAAGTCCAGTGTGAAGTTTCCACAGTCTGTGTTGGTTTGGGGAGCCATGTCATCTGCTGGTGTTGGTCCACTGCGCTTTATTAAGTCCAGAGTCAGCGCAGCCGTCTACCAGGACATTTTAGAGCACTTTATGCTTCCTTCAGCAGACGAGCTTTATGGAGATGCTGACTTCATTTTCCAGCAGGACTTAGCACCTGCCCACACTGCCAAAAGTACCAAAACCTGGTTCAATGACCATGGGATTACTGTTCTTGATTGGCCAGCAAACTCGCCTGACCTGAACCCCATAGAAAATCTATGGGGTATTGCCAAGAGAAAGCTGAAAGACATGAGACCGAACAATGCAGAAGAGCTGAAGGCTGCTATTGAAGCATCCTGGTCTTTCATAACACCTCAGCAGTGCCACAGGCTGATAGCATCCATGCCACGCCGCATTGAGGCAGTAATTCATGCAAAAGGGGCCCAAACCAAGTACTGAGTACATATGCATGATTTTTTTTTTTTTTTATTGATTTCATGTAATATTCTAATTTTCTGAGATTTTGAATTTGGGGTTTTCATAAGCTGTATGCAATAATCATCAAAATTATATCAAATAAAGGCTTGAAATATCTCACTTTGCATGTAATGAGTCTATATAATATATTGGTTTCACCTTTTAAGTTGAATTACTGAAATAAATGAACTTTTGCAAGATATAGAGTTTCAACTGTATGTGGTGCCACCAAACTCCATTCATGAAACAGCCTATTACATTATTCAATTCAAAGGGGCTCTGTTGGCATGGGAAACAGATGCCAAAATAACAAAAGTACATAAACAGAAGAAACTGTAGAAATGTTATTTATATATAATTAGTAAATATACATAACTTAAAATATTGTTAATGATTTTACTTTAATGCTTTCTCTTGTCCTCCAGCCTCATATTGATGCTGAAATATGCATCGAACATATCAGGGGGACGTAGATCAAGCTTGTTAACTTTTACCTCTAATATTCTCATTTAAGTTGCATTAGCTGCCCTGCACATTATTGTTGCTGAAGGGTTCCCTATTACAAATGCTTTGTCATACTCTGCATTGCTCATATACATTTCTGTGTGAACAGCTTTCTTGTTTTTCTCAGAGGTTTAATTCCTAGTTTAAAAGGATACAACAGCAAGCGGAGGGGTAAAATAAGACCTTTTGGAAGTTGGCAGCACTTCATTGCTTATATTAATAATTATGGTCTTTCAAATCAAAGCCACAGAATGACCCTTTTAAACGCAAGTATGATGAAGGAATTTGCCCCACATGAAAGCAGATTAAAGATGATGTTTGTTCATTTCTACAGGAGGAGCCTGTGATGTGGAGTTGAATATGTTTTAACTTCATTTCACAAAAGAGAGGCTGCGCAGAAAGCTTTCTCTAATTACACCATCTTTAACCAGACCTTGCAGTCTTCTGTAAATGAACAATCCTCATCTGCTTGTTGTGCAACAAAACGAAGTCTGACTGATGTTTGAGCCAGTTTCCTCACAACATGTTTTGTGTGTCTGGGTGTGCATGTTGAACTGCAGATGAGGGATTTGTTGTGCATTAAAGTCAGAGGTGGCTCTAATGGCCACTGAAATTATGTGTGTGCTTGTTTGTTTGTGGGTAGTGGCTAGTGTGTTTTCTAGCCACAGGTCAATTAGAATAATTGGGTAGGAAGAAATTCAAATAAATGGCGGATCTCACAGCAGCTCCAGTAAGGTAAAAATTAAGTCTTGGCCTGTCATTCTGATTATTATCCCATCTGAAAAACTAAAGAAGTCTTATGACAAGAGTCCAACTCAGCCCACTGAGGACTTTGTGCTTCATTAAAAAGTTCCGTTAAACTTGTATGAAAGAAAGAGGGAAGTTTGGTATCTGGCAGCATCTAGTGTCAGACAGCACTAATCGATTCTGCACAGGGAGCATAATGGAGTTCAGTGGAGGTGAGAGCAATGATGGTGTCAAACCTGAAGAGAAGTTCTAAATTCCCTCTCAGCCAATTACAAGGACCCATGGGGGGGTTGTCAAAACCCTCGCTTCCCAGTTAAGGTCCTTTTTGACATGGTAGACCATATGCTAATTCACCCCCTACCCCGCTTCCTTCACACCCTCTCGAATGTTTTCGCTCTTACTTTCTCCATCGTTGGAAGTTTCTATTTTCATCATCCAATCTTTCTTTTCTCTCACTTCGTCTGCCTACAAAGCCAATAATGCAATAACGACATATTTGGTTCTGTTCAGTCTGTTTTTCTGGAATATAAGCAAATATTATGCCATAGATATGTGTCATTTTTGGAGATCAAACAGCATTTGTAAGAATTAGAAAACAGCTATGACCCAAACTGCAGAACTTCGGCTAGTTCTGGCTAGCAGATTAGAAAGCCGTAGCTAAATCTAATTTTCCCATTTTTTCCTGGTAATAATAAAATAATAATTGAGTTTGCTATACTGTGCCATTTAGATATGGCAGTTGGTATATGTAATTGTATAGTAATTGCCGTTTCTGCTACTTCTGACGCTCCGAACGAAATAATGAGAGTAGTATATTGGATACCGGTAACAGTTTTTCGTGTCGCTTTATACTAGCAAGCACTACTATATAGCACTAGCAAAGCTTACGTGTTCTGCCTGTATGTAAATTTACTTATTAGACATATCCTGATGGTAACAACAGCTTTTTGGGAGAAAGAAACGGTCAAATGAAGGTATTCATTTGATTTGCAAAGTTGTGTAACTTTAATTAGGAGCCACAGCTAGTTTGCTCAGAGCTGTTAGTGGCCTGCTAGATGGCTGTGGGCATCAGAACTTTAGGTGCAATGCACCCTGGTACATGTAGGCACTGCCTGAATGGCTCCGCAAACTGGAGAACTCTGTTTTCTCTGCCAGTGTAGAGTGCAGTAAGGAATTTGTTGCTTCAATGGACACCATTTACCTTCAACACTGACATCCACTTAAAAGGTGCTGAATCTTTTATTTAAATTGAGTTGCATCCCATCTGTAGATGAATGGATTTATAATATATTTGTTTTATAATTACATCATTGTCAATGTCAGTAGTGTCACTGGTGTTGCTAGTGGACAGAAAAACACATGGAGCTAGCATCCAATCACAAGGTCGCGTTGAAGTTACAGGCTAGCCAATCACATCACATTAGGGTGGGACTTGGGCAGTAGGGCGTGTTAAGCTACCTTAGCCTTACCTTAAATCATATATTAAAATGTATTTCATCAAAGATTAATTAATTAAAGTAGCTAATTTCTTAAAATGGGGAAAAAATGTTTTTTTCACATTTTGTTTGTATTTGTTTCCCCTGCAGCCAGTATCCAACATGTTTTGTTATGTTTTATTTTATGTCTGTGACAGTGTTTATTATCCGCCTAAAAAAAATTATATATATATAATTAATCTGTTTCACAGTTTGGTTAAGTAGCTTTCAAACTTCAAACTCCGTTTTTCAAACTCACCTTTACTGTCTTTGTAAGATAGAATTGCTCTTCAGTGCAAGTTACTTCTCCCTCCTTTAAATCTTATTAGCTTTGTTCAAGCCTCATTTTGTCCCTTTTAGTCTGATACTTATCACCCCCTCCTTAAGCCCCACCCAACAATAATTTCCTTTTTAGACTTATTATTTATATGCTTTGTTGCTCTCCGCTTCACCCGTGTCAGTTTGTGCTAAACCTATTTTGTCCTATTGTTGCCTTTTTAATCTCTTAAATCATATGCACTTTCCTCCCTTTTCTCCTTCCCTTTTTTTAACCTTTCATCACAAGTTTTTCCTTGCCTCTGTCGCCTAGTGCTGCTCTTGGTGGGAATTGTTGGGCTTCTGTAAATAACATCACAGAGTACGGTCTAGACCTGCTCTTTTATGAAGAGCGCTGTGAGAAAACTGTTGTTGTGATTTGGCGCTATATAAATAAAATTGAATTGAATTGAATCACATCCCGTGTGTCTGTAGATAGCCAGATAGTTTGGTGTACCCTACAAAGGGACACAAAATGACTACAAAAAGCCAGTAAATAATTATATTATAATGGAAGAGAGAATGTAGGACACAGTGTTGTTTAAAAGGGGTCAAGCTACAGTGCGTTCCCCATTTTATTTCCGCCGCCGGGCTGATAGAGTGCTGTGGCTCTGTATAAAGGGACGTGTTTTCTGAATTTGCTTTAAACAATATAGTTTGCATAGTTTGTGGTGTGCTGGGATTACTGAGATGTATGTACGTTTTGGCAGTGCTGGAGCTGGATAAACAGAGGGACACAGCGGGGGCGACGCAACAGAATGGAGGTCTTAATCTTGATCAAACGCAGATGACGTCCTTTGAGATCAATCTCAAAGACAAGAGGTTTGTGGCAGCTGTAACATTAACCCCTAAAGGGTTTTGTAAGCAGCTGTGCTTGCAGAATCTTTGCTTTCATATATTTGTTGAACACTTGAATTACATTTAGGGTGCACCTTAATAATAAATCTACTTAAACTCAAACTTTTATCTAGGTATCAGGATGACTTCAGGCCCCTGGTGGATGGGTGTGGCTGCTACTGCTGTAAGAACCACCAGAGGGCATATCTGCATCACCTGCTCATGACCAATGAGCTGCTGGCTGGTGTCCTGCTCATGATCCACAACACAGCCCACTATCACGGCTTCTTCAGCGCCCTGAGAGACGCTCTGGCTACTGATAAACTGGACCTCCTCAAGAGACGGGTACTTGGAGAGAGAGGTGGGCAGACAGAAAGAAAGGACTAAGACGGGTAAATAGGAGCGATATGAGAGGGATTGATCTTTCGTCTAAAGGATCACTGGGCTGACTTGGAAAGAGGCAATCAAAGCTCTATCTTGTTCCTCCCAGTCCAGTCAGAGGATGAACTGTGACACTGCAGAGACCTTGAGACTGAGTCACTCCACAAGTTTCTAAAGCCACGTCTCCTTTTAAACGAGTAGAGGACAAAAAGAGAACAGAGCTGATAAAGACAACCATTTGATGCTCCTGGTTTCACATCAGGAATACAGCTCCCAGCTCATACATTGATCCGAGCTGATAGCCAGCAGATGGAGTCAGGGATAGGTGCCTGAAGAGGGAAAGGAACTGGATAGGAGGTCAGGAGGAATCTGCATAATGAAAGAAATTGAAGATACATGGTAGTGGGCTATGGACTATGACTAAATGCCAGTGTGCCTCCTGTTGTGGTCTGATTGCAGGTCACTAGATGACTAATATCCTCTGGAGCCACTGACATAGCAGTATAGACTGGAGGGAGAACCAACATGGGTGACCAGCTATTAAAGGGGAAAGAAATAAGAAAAATAAATCCCGCTTTTCTCCTATTACATTAAAATTACCACGTGTATAAAAAGATCTTGAGGCTTTTTCATTTAATACTTCATTGGTCTGTCTTCACCAAGCATTTGTAATTTCTTCATGTGCACCGAGAATATTTTTAACTTGGATACTTCAGTAGGATAAGCTTCTCACACACATGGAAGTTTTCAAACACACTCACCAGCATGTTTGATGAGAATGTGTTCGCATTAAGCACGTCCGCGCCACTCTCATCATGCAGATGTGGTTGACTCCTTTGTGGGTTTTCAGGGAGGTTAACTGAAGGTTTGAGCTGACAGCTTCACTGTTCCTGCTGCTGAGGAAGGATAAAGATCAGATAAAGATATGGGTCCGGGATGGAGGGAGGCCTTTTGAGGGTGATGAGATATAAATTGACTGCCGGAGCGTGCAGATGTTTGTGGGGGAGAAGGGACACAGAGGAGCGTGTGACAAGATATGTGGAACAGTAATGGGCAATTTCTGTTGTACTTGTGGGTTACCTAACCTGCACGGAGCATTATAAAGAAGTAGGTTGGAGGATTTGCTGTCGTCAATAGTTGGGTGCTGTGCCTAAGTACTTAAAATGGGTTGGAAACATAGAACTCTATTAATACCTGCCGGAGAAAATGGGTGAAAGCTAAACAAGCAGTGACCTCTAGACTGTTTATTTTAAGGTTTAATGGGATGGCAGTGGACAGAAGGGGATGTAAAGTCAATCCCCCCGATTAGCTGTTGCTAATGACTGTTGAGTTAAATTGCTCCTAATAAGTATACAGACTCCAGCAGATTATTCATTTTGACATATTCATCAAGCTTGTGACCTTCAACTGTAAGATAAAGTAGAATATAAGTGATCACAATAATGATGAGGTACAGCACAATGAAATAGAATATAAATAAGGATGGGGGAGGGGGTATAAACACCTCAGCTAATTGCCAGAGTGTGGCAAGTTGAAAATTATGGGTGTAAGAATGTGAACACTATTTGAGTTTAGAGCATATAAGATGCACCAGAGGTCAACATATGCTAAAACTTGTTATGAGACTTATGCTAAGTCTTCTAAGAAAAACACTTCTGCTCAGGTCAGTTTGCTCCTTCCACCTCATACTGTGCCAATTGAGTCAAGAAAATAAAAGAACCACAGGTTTGATAGATCATCTCGAATTAATGAACCATAACACCAGACAGGTGTGGCTCCTGTCTGAAACTGTCTGAGTTTAATTAGCAGTACAACACACAACACCACTTTTTGGCTGTGCAGTGGAACAAGCTGTAGGCACAACACCGACGTCCCATAACCACTATATAAAGTTGACATAGTGAATGTGTTGTTATTTTTTCATGTTTCTGGTCACCTGGTGAATGGAATCCAATATTTGCCCTTCTTTAACTCTGGCTTTGGTCTCACCAACTCCTGAGGGAAATATATGACTCTTTAACTGCTGGATGCATACAGTGGATTCGTCAGAGCCTTTCCACTCGAGAAAATCTGCCTACTGCAGTCAAAACGGGAACATTGTGGCCGTTAAACCAAAACAATGAACAGAAAGACGCTAAAACGCTTCGTAGCTGAAGGAAACTGCAGTGATAATTGTCTATGGATTTGTCAACCTTTTCACATTTAATGAAACATATTTATTAGCACAGCTTAACCAGTTACAGAGACGTGTCTTGGATTGCTGAGGAACAATTATTTTATTGTGGATGTTTGCAATTATATAATGCATAGCAATTGTCTCAAGGTTATGTCCAGCTTACATCTTTATTGTGGGGAAGTACTTTATTGCTGGATAAACTCAAAGCAGAGCTAATATGATTAAGAAATATGTGTCCATAATACCACTTAGTCTATGTGCCATTGTCTGATTCTTTATAGAGTTAATTTCCATCTAGGAGTTTTAACATTTTTGAGAGGCAGACTGGTGCTGATCGTTACGCCCATTCTATGTGCCTCTTTCTCTACTCCACTGATTGGCACTGGGCACAATTTCCATGTAATAGAGCTCTGAATGACAGTCAGCAGGTGGTCCTCAGAGCTCAACCAATTACACAGATGGAGAGAGCTATTCAGCCTGGGTCACTACACGTTTCTTTTCTGTCTCTCCACTTTTCTGGACTAGTTTGCAGTGTGAGCCAAGCCTCACATTTATCTCACACTTCACATGGCATCCAGATTGTTTTCTGCTGTTGTGGCAGCACCACATGAAGAGGAATGAGCTCAGCTGCCCTCCCAAAACAACAGAAAGCCAACTAAAGCCAGCGGTGTGAGGTGCAGCGGGTGTTGGAAATGATGGCCAGAGAAGGTTTTTATCAGTGAGGGATTGTGTTGTCAGAGCAGAGCTTCCAGAGTCTTTACAGGAGGAAGAAAGTGCCAGTATTTGTCACTTTGAGAGGTGTGTCTGTTGTGTTAGAAGCTGAAATCACTGTTTGATGTCACAGTAGCCATAATTGAATCACTCAATAGGCCATTAGGCTGCTAACACACAAGCACTGGGGCCACCAGACCACTTGGGGAGCTTGTTTGTGATTCTTGAAATTCAGTCAAATGACTGCAAAGAGACAGAAAGCAACCAACAAAAAGATGCAAAACAACGAAATAAAGAGGCTAAACGACAACAAACACAAAAAAACGACGGAAAACAACTACTAAAAGATGCCAAATGACTACAAAGAGACACAAAACTTTTTTTGCAGAAAGGTAGTTATTTTGAGACCCGGGACAAATGAAATGCTTGATGAAAGTAACAAAGCAATTTTCTCTAAGCCCATGCAAGTCTGAAAAGCCAAATATGTCAGCATGTACAGTACGCAATACTTAGCTGAACCACGGAAAATTGGGTAGATGCATCACACTTTTACCGAAAGTGAGAGTTTTACCGAAGAAGGTAAATTCTCTCAAGCAGTAAATATTTTTGAATGCCATTGTCATGATGGATGACAGATTAGTTAGTCCTTTAAGACATCCTCAACTTTGCCATGTCAAAGTTTTTCAGTATCGAAGTGAGTCAAGTTTAACAGTAAGGAGTCACTGTTGTAACAGAAGAAACGATGCGCAACTTCCATTCTAAGTCAACTTGTACAGAAGCTGTTCCACATTTGTACAAAATAGCACCTGGTATTGATAGAACACTAATGTGAGTTGTTGATTGCAACAAAAAAATGGTTTCTGTCTGTAACATTATCTTTTAAAACGACATTTATCTGAAGTCTTTCAATTGTCCTGGATCTCCCCTATCTTTCACTCGTGGTGTCTTGCTCCTCCTATATTTAGGCTATGACAGGTGGGGGCCCTGTAGTTTCATTATCCGTCCATGGCTGCGTCTTGCTCTTAACTACCCTCAGGCACAATATTTAACACCATACTGTCAGCTGATCTTACAGGTTCTCCTTCATTTCGCTCAATCAGAAACAACCAGGACACCATAAACCGGCAATGCAACGACTTCCTGGGTAGCTCCTGACCCTCCCCCCTGTCCCCATAGTAACCCTTGACCACCAGCGAGGAGCAGCTGTGTTTCTCGCCTGTTTGCTGGCTATAAATGATCAGTAACAGGAGGCCAATGCCTTATTACCTCCCTGATGTATTTCATGATTCATTTATGGACATAAGTCATCAGCAGACAATGTTCTAAGTCAGCGGGGACCTGCTCCCTCTGTCGGATGAGTGAATATTTGATCAGATGTGACTGCAGAAATATAGAGAGAAGGTCATAATATATTAATACTCCAGATTTATTGGTTAACCTGTCGTGTGAACCTCTGCACTGGTGTCGTGTAAATTTAATGGGATGTGATATAAAACCAGTAAAGGCAGAATAGTTGTCCTTTTCTATAAGTGTGTAGAATTCATATTTTCTCTGGGTCTGTGCACATCTATAACCGGTTTATGAAGGTTTTAGACGGTGTTTTGCAAGTTTGTGAATGAGGCTGGGCCTGAAGTTTGGCTACACTGCAGTTTAGTTTAGTGCAAACCCCTTCCCATATTTAGGCGAGGTGTAGGATGGCAAATTCAGTGAAGGAAAAAGGAGGAAGTGTACGTTTGATTATAGCTCCTGACTGAAAAAGAAAATCTTTTCTATCAGGTTGGGTGTATTGATGTCAACGTTGAGTGACAACTAATCAAACGAGATAACACTTTCAAAAAGACAATCAAGACGCAGAGGTATGTTATTGTTGCATGAGCATGACATAACAGAGACCAAAACAAATCATATATAGAAAATATTTCAATATATTTTGAAAAATAGAGGTCATATTCCAATTTTGGCAAATATTAATTTAATTATTGATTTATCTTCTGATAATTTTCTAAATTAAGTGTGTAACAAGACTACAGCCGTGTTAGTGATTCTGTGAGACTGTACTGTAGGCGTAGTTGTACTTGGAGCTAAATGCTAAAATCTGCATGCTAACACGCTTACAATGACATTGCTAAGGATCTTTAGCACGTTTACCATGTTTACAATCAGTGTTTGCTGTGTTATGCATGTGTGCTATAGAGAACAATTTCTCTATAGCACACAAAGTACAACTGAGGCTGAAGGGAACATCATTCATTTCGCAGATATTTGGTCAAGTCAGAAGTATTGAACAAAAAGAAGCTTTGAGCTGATGATGGCTAAGGGATCTCCATAGTTTTTTCAATTCATCATGAATGTCTGTACCTAATTTTCAGACAATCCATCCAATAGTTGTTGAGATATTTCAGTCTGGACCAAAGCACCTGTACCTTGTTTTAGCTTTTCTGATTACACTGACTCACAAACACTCTGCTTCGCCTGTGCACACACAAATTCAATGAAAAATACTGCCAGACTAAGGAAAAAAGACCTGCAGATTTTTACTTTAGTGAAGAGGTTGGCTGGGTTGGGCCCAAACCATATTTTATAAGTGTTTTTGTTTTGTTTTTTGCCTCTGAGTCAGCAAGATGGCTGTCCACAGTGAAAAAAATGGTTGGAGTTTTTAGACAATATTAAAAAAGAAAAAGTATTTTTTGACATTTGTCATAACAGAATAGCAGATAGCAGAACAAAACACCCAGAGATACAAGATTAACCAGCATTTTTCTATTTTGGCCCCTATACATGGGAGGGATGATCTACAGTGATTCACTTCCTAAATTGCATGATTATTGTGTGATGAACTTAATTACTCTCTCTTCTCAATAAAAGTCATTGGAAAATCTGCTCTAAATCTTTAATTCTTTTCCATTCAATTCAGCTTTATTGGCATGAATGTCAAACAACAATATTGCCAAAGCTTAAAATACAAATATCTTTAGTTAATTAAGTCTGTATTCAAAGGACAACAAATGTTACAGAAGTTCAGATGAGATTTTGCTTCTGTAGTTTCTGTCTTTCTCTAAAGCAGGCTTTTCATTTGTATTGCTCCGCTGCCCAGAGGTCACAGGAAGTTGAACGAAAGGTTGGCTGTGTTTAGTAGCACTGCGGATGGATGAAAAGGCCATGTAGGATTTGACCTTTACTGATGAGCATCATTGGTTAGTGCGGGAAAATGGGGAATCTCAGATCTGGGCTGCTGAAATTGAAGGAAGAATGAGGAATAAAGGAGAAACGAGTGTTAAGGAAAAACCTAACAGTAAAAGTTTCTCTGTGGGAGCTTGTAGGAGCACTCTTCCTTTTATGTATAAAAATACAAGATATAAACATGCCGGGGTTTAGCAAGAATGCTAACTTACATCTGTAGTCCCTGGACACGTAAGAAAAACAGAAATATTTCAAGTGACAATATACAGATACTGTGAAAGTAAAATAGTATGAAGCATCATTTATTCATTTATTACAGTTTTTTACAACTGCTTACACACCTTTTCAAAACTATGTCTCCTTTTTTCAAAACTCTACAACAATTCCCCAAACTGCTCACACAAAATACAAAATGCCTCATATGTCCATCAAAATGAAACACTGCATTCAAAATGCCATAAACACATCCTAAAATGAAGCATTGGCATCAGATGGCAAACACTTTTTCAAAATAGTAAATTATTGGATTTACCATGTACACACTGTTGTTCTAAATGTAAAGCTCTTTTGTCTTTCATAGGCTTATATGTAAATTTCCATACAATGCTCTAGAGCAGTGGTTTTAAAAAAACTGTAATCTTAATCTGTGGTCACTCTTGGAATGTGCAGATGAGGCCTTCATAGGGGGCTGTGGAGACGACATGTTAACTGAACTGACGTCGGCACTGGGACAAAGCATGTTCAGACCAAGTTCGGATCTTGCTACACACTTGGTTTTCCATGATAGGATGAGAGTCCATGGCTAATAATGGATGAGATTGTTATCTTTGGGCAGATATGGCCAATCAAATTGTAGATCTTTGTCATGAAATGGGTGTACTGTACTAAACATTCAAGGAGGCAGATCCTTTGTCTTCTGTGTGAAGGTGTGGTCTCCATATTGTGCAATATATTTTAGTCTTTCAGTGCTTTGTGTTTTATTTCATTATGCGTTAAGTGCTTGCAGAGACATTTCCACAACAATACACATATGTAATACAGTTAGAGAGTGAAAAGACTGATCACAGTTTTGGTTTGCCTTGAGCCATTTTTTGAGATCAGTCTTACAAGTGGGAGAAGTAGGGCCTTCCCTTATTGCAAGTGGTAGGCCATTCCAAAATGTACCTTACCTTTACTGTACATTTGCACAGTTTGTCCAAATGTGGTGCGCCTAGGTGGCACCTTACAATCCCCTCTAGTGGTGGGCCTGGTGCAAATGTCACTTTCAGCCATTTGTTTAATGAATTCATTTAAAGGAGGTGGGGCAGGGCCTTATACATAAAACAAGCATATTGAAATGTTTTTAATTCTCATGGCTCAATTCTATTAATTAAATGTTGTTACATTTGCAAGTGACCAATTAGTAAAATAATGAATGTGTGAAAAATAACTGAGTGTAAAACGTCCTGGCAGCATTGAATGGCCTGATTTGCTTTCCGTTTTCTAAATTCAGTTTTACGGTGTCTCACACCTTTTTCACATGACTTTTAAAGGTTGATGTAGAGTCCAGTGTGACCTCAAGATACTTGAACTCATTTACAGTGTCAAGCTCCTCCCCTCTCAGGAACACATTAGAGTGTGTCACCTCTAATGACATTGATAATCAATAAGAGACATGATTTAGTAAGCCAGCCCTGAACATGTGTCATTGCAGATGTAAGAGTTGGTTTACTGGAATTCTTATGCATCTGAAAAAAATTACAGCTTCATCTGAAAACATTTGCATATTAATGTTTTGACATGCATTAGGCAGGTCATTAAAGCTGGGTTATGCAATGTTGGAGAAACTAGCAAGAGACAGCTGGATTTTCAGGGGTACTATCCAACAGAAAAAAATCCCACCCCCTCTGCGTAGCCCTCCCTCCAGAACTGAAGACACTGCGGTAAAAGCCTGGAATAGCATCACAAATAAAGCATGCAACAGTTTGGTGATGTCAATGGGTCACAGGCTTGAGGCAGTCATTGCAAGCAAAGGTTATGCCACCAAATATTAAATGTTATTTACTTTAAGATTATTTGTTTCATTACTTTTGCTCACCTAAGAATGCTGTGGTCTAATACAAACAGTGATATGTCCTGAGTTGTTTAACGCATCCAGATGTGAATACCAGGAAATAAAAGCTGAAATTCTAATACTCATCTTTTGATCTTAAACCTAAATGTCTTCAGTGAACAAAAAAAACAAAAGGAATTTGCCTTACCGTTCTAATACTTTTGGAGGGGGCTGTATAATGTGAATAAAACTGGTCCAAGAATAGAGCCCTTTGAGACCCCTACAGGACAGTCAAGGTACTGTCAACACAAACACATTGCTTTCTGTTAGAAGATTTCATCAGCAGAACAGCTTAACACAGGAAAAAACAGATTTGATGATTGCAGTGTACCAAAGATTCTTTATGTAATTATATCATAAAATTAGTGTCCAGCTTTTCAGTGGATCGATAATGTTCGATACTTCTGGATCTGTTATTCCCTCTATTTTAAAAATAGGCATGATAAACAGTGCAGGGAATCTGCCTGAAGTCATTTGCTATACTTGAAGTGTTTACAGTTAAAGGTATCTCCAAGGATGCCTCCCTACAGTATTTCTGGAAATGCAGTAATTTGAAAAGCCTCATACATAATGAGTGATGATAGGTCTTTTCCTAATGGCATGATACATAATTTATAACCTTGAGGGAGCTGTTTATGAGATTTCTTTAAGGATTGTTGGGGGTAATTTGTAACGCACCTTCAACAGCTTTATTTGATTGCCTCTGTTTTCGCTTATTTGAAGAAGAAAAACGACATGTGGCATATGAAGCTTTGATGATGGTAAATCTATGGGATCACCCTGCAATCAATCAAACCACTCACATGGATTTCCACTGCAGATTATCTGTTCATATACACTATACTAAAAAACTATAATTCAGCCTGTTTTTTTCTAAATTCATTATTCCTAAATTTAAAAAGCAATGTGTTCTCATTTGTATATTAGAAATTTTCATACACATTTTAAAGTGGTTGGATTAAAAAAATGGGTCGCTTTCGACTGGATAGATATCATCCAGAAGAACCTGGGGGTTTTTAGGCCGCAGAAGTGTAAACAAACATCCACATGATTTGGCATTTTCACCTTTTTTTGTGCTCTTTTTGTGTATTCTCACATAGGTCAACCCTGGCAGGAGGCTAAACAGTGACATCACTATCAATCAGCCCTAAATCAATAGAATTTAATTGTAATGACAACTTAGAGGGTGTGACTCAACATCTTGACGGGCTTACATGCTGAGCCCTGATTAAATAGTGATCACTTTCTCAGAGCGGTTTGGTTGATCCTTCTGACAAAATGAGGCATACTGTAAGTGGAGGCTCCTTTGCCTCCAAGGCACAAAATGTGAGGATTGCCCAATGCTGCAGTAGCTTCTTTGTGGCATGTGTGTGTGGGTATAGTAGAGTTTTTTCCCTCAGAAAAGCTGTGGAACATTTTGTTTTCTCCATTTTACAGGACTAGCTGGGTAGTCATAACGCATTGGATGGGGTATGAAAAGAACTAAGGACATGTGGGAATGAGGGGATGATAGGGTAATGACAGTCGACAGCAGCCTTTCAGGGAGCAGGAGACCAGGATAGAAAGTAAATTTTTAAGCGGGAGAAATGAAGAGCACAGAGAGAAATGAGGATGTTCCTGCTCATAAACACCAGGTTTTCTTTCTTCTTGCCGTTAGCAGAGAATTATAAATTCACCTGGATTTGAGGGAACATCAAAAGCAGATTCGCTTGTCGAACTTTAAGTCACATCGCTTGTCTGTTGCTCAGCATGGACTCTCAGCAAACGGAGGTGCTTTTAAGCAGAATTTTCTTTTTTAAATATCTCCTCTGGGTACAATTTAGAAAACATAAAAACACTCTCAGGGTACCTGCGGGGTCTTAAAAGGTATGGAGGTTATGAGTTTATAATAATAATAATCCTTATTTGTAGAGCACTTTTCAAAAACAAGTTACAAAGTGCTTTAACAAGTGTAAAGAATAATACAAAAAAAACAAGATAAGAGCATGAAAAATTTATATAAAATTAGTAAAATACAATAAAATAAAAGGGATAAAATAAAGTCAAATAAGATCGGGAAAAGCTCTCCTATAAAAGTATGTTTTAAGAAGGGACTTAAAAGAGTTCACTGACTCAGCCGACCTGGTTTCCTCGGGCAGGCTGTTCCAGAGCCTCGGGGCCCTGACAGCAAACGCTCTGTCCCCTTTAGTTTTCAGTCGAGACTCTGGAACAGACAACAGACCTCTGCCCGAGGATCTCAAGGTACGTGCTGGTGCGTATGGGACTAAAAGGTCAGAAATATAACAAGGCGAGAGGCAGTATTTGATTTGCCATCTGCTGAGACCCGATGACCAGGATTTCTGTTTTGTCTGAGTTCAGCTGGAGGAAATTATTTGACATCCATTTTTTAACTTCACAAAGGCAGTTGTTAAGTGAACTCAGCATTCCAGGGTCTGTGGATCTGACGGGCAAGTATATTTGTGTGTCATCAGCATAAATATGAAAAGAAATGCCATGTTTATGGATAATATGTCCAAGGGGAAGCAGATACAAGGAAAACAAAATGGGTCCTAAGACCGACCCCTGAGGCACACCATATTTAACTGGACAGAATGAGGAGACATAGTTGT